TTTGATTTCAGCAGAGATAGGACATGGTCAGAGGTTTGCAGTATAAGCCATAGTGAAAAGAACACCACTTACCGTACTCTAATGTTACCCAGCTGCTAAGCGTGCGATGCTCCAAAGTTGCACACACAGGCAAATGAAACCACCAGTAAGTGGAATGTGGGTGCCTGAAGACCTTTGACTTTTAGGGCCAACATGTGTGTGTATATATATGTCATAAACATACTATGTATGCTCATTACTTACTTTAGTAATGAGCACACAGCAGCAGCAACAGCTTTGTGAGCTCCCATAAGCAACTACATTTAGGCCTGATTCTTATTCCTCTGAGAAACCTCCAATGAAAATCAAACTTAGTAAATGAGGGGATGGTTTGGGTGGCTATTCTCCTTCTAAGCCTTTACTGAGACACGTTTCCTCAGGCTGATCTCAGAGCTGCTGTTTTTCAGAGAAGATACAAGGCAGTCGTGACTTCATTAAATGTCACACAACAGCATTTGCAAGGGAAGGGGCGTCCTCACTCCTTACTACAAAGCCAGCAATTATATTTTCTAAGTACAAATAGACCACAGATGAGACGATAAGCAGCTGTCCTGCCTCAGCGCAGGACAGGTCAGTATTTTGGGTGCAATTTTCTCTGCGATGGCTTGAAATACACTTTGCAGGGTGGCTTTGCATTCCTGCACACTGGAGAAAAGTGAGTCCTGTTCTAAGTGTGAGACAAGGATCCCGAGTCCCGCATAGCTGTCGAGAGAGAAAAGATGGCAGTGGCTGAGAGATGCTGAGACCCGAAACAAGGAGCTTTTAGTCACCAATGGAAGGGAATACCCCACTTAAACTTTGTTTTCTCCGCTGCACTGCCAAACTCCTCCAAGTAAATTGTACTTTATCTCTCAAATAAATTCTGAAAGCAACACAAATTGTCTACTTGGTCATGATGTTTTTCTATTTTTAATTATATTTTATTAAATAAAAAATATTTCAATCTACAGTGAAATAAAATGAAGTTTCCAGTTATTATATGCTTTTGGTTTCTGTCTCCTCTATAAGTACCTTATTTTCTCCAGTCATTTTCAAGATTTCAGGCTAGGATCACCACAGCCTCTTATATCATATTATTTTCCTACCATGAAGTTGTTTATGTGTATTGTTTACCCAACAGACATTTCTCTTTCACTTGGTATATTCATTACTAAATAATTCTGTGAGAAGATACAGGCCACTGATTTTTTGCAATTTGCATCCCCATACTCTAAGCTATGTTGAAAGCAAAGCTTTTTGGTCCTCTTGCTTTGGAAGTACATTAATATTTCTATGACCTTTACTAGATGGCAGATGAGAAGCATTAGGAATAAAATAACAAACAAACCAAAGGAAACCAATTTTTTAAAATGCATATTTCTGAAAGGAGCAAAAGGGAAAAGAATCTAGTCTAAAAAATATGAACTTTAGCTAGAGTTATGGTAATTGTTCTCTTGTAGCCTATTTTTCCATGTCAAAATGTTTCTTTGTGATCAATCCACTCAACATAATGCAAAAATGTATTTGAAGGGGTTTAGTAGCTATGCATACCAAAAATATATAGATATTATTTAGAGATATTTAGAAAGAAATAAAATATTTTAAGACATTTATTTACTGTGTACATTGAAGTGATCATATTAAAAGCACGGTCACTACGCTAACAGCTGCTTTACACAAAATGACTTCAAATCACTGAACTATCAAAGCCTGCTGCTTATAGAGAGAAATTCTGCAAAGCAAGCTGCAAATGCTGTGACTTTTTGCATGGTGTAAATGCTCTGCTTTAGAAGACCACGCTTTCAGAAGCCTTTAGAAGCCTTTAGAAGGAAAACCAACTAAATTCTACCCAGGAAACCATTTCTCTCACGGCAGCATTGTTTTTCAGTGGTTTTACTACACACCGGAAGCCAACTCTGTTCCTGTTCATCTAGGTGTCGATGCCATAACTCAAAGGAACAGATCCAAAAATCATTTTTAGTGCCTTGAAATGTGACTGCTTTATGAACACCATGTATGGATTAACAACATCTATGATTCAGCAGGGCATTTAACAGATGGCAAGCAGAAGTTGTCCCATGAACTAAAGTATTTGTTCACTGTTTCCCAACTGGAGGCAAAACTGAGATTCTTTAATAGCAACCCTCTTTCATTTACTTTATATCATACATTCATATAATATGCCTCAGTATCAAGTGAAAGGATATTCTAGGTATTCTTTGTTTCTCTTTAGGATAGAGTGGAAGTCGGAAAATTTTAAAACAGCAATAACCAGTTCACCATACCATGAATCACATGAATCTAGAAGGGTTCAGATTAAATCAACTGGTGCTATTTATAGGACTGACATGATGGCAAGACTCCCCTTCTGTCTTTACTACCAAAGGCAAATGCTATTGCAGCCAGTAGAAATGGGAATAGACCTTGTATTCAATGTGTCACATACCTATTTTTTAAGTATTACTTTTATAAGTTCTTCTGTTTTGACTCATGAAAATTTTCCCCCCTTGAGGTTTCAAGGAATACTATCTTATAATTTTAGCATAAAAATATAGATTTGTTAAAATCTTAAGTACTTCTTAATGTGAAAAACAGTTTGAAAACATGCTTTTTGTTGGCTTAATTAGTTTATTTTAAATGAAATGAGGCACTTTATAGTTTGGATACAAGCATTTCCCTTCCATTTGCTCTTTAAGCTTGTTGTTCTTTGTTCAAGTTTTTAGAGAAAGAGAAAGTAAATAGAAACTGACTTTAAAAAATACTTTTCCTCCCCACTGTTTATTTTTTTAGAAATTTCCTCAGCTTGGTCTATCAATATGGAGAAGTGTAAATCATTTGTTCAATTTTTTTTTTTTTTAAGAATTTTGATTTATCTAGAGGATTTCTAACACACAGCTTTCCTTCATTAGATGTAGAGATTCTGGCTCTCAACCAGCCTGTAAAATCAGAGAAAACTATGCTGTTATCCAGCTGAGAACCCGGCCCATTTTAAATATAGCTCCCATCTCCTTAGATTATTGTGCTTTAATTACGCCATGTGTAAAATGTTTTTATACAGAAAGCATCCAATCTGAACTTACTCAAGCGATGGCACGTGTCTCTGCAGTCAATGTTCTTAGCCCACTGCTGGTTTAAAATATAATCAGTTTTCATCTGCTAATTTGAATGGAATCTAAGTTTCTGTTCAAGATAAAGCCTGTGATGCTGCACTGCATTGCACAAAGACAGTTCCTACATTCCTACCCAAAGTCAGATCTCTGCCTCTGCACTGCAGAGATGGGGCTCTGAAAGATTTAATTGGAATCCCTCTCAAGCATATCAAAACATAGCCTTTGTAACCAGTAACAGATTTGCAAATATTTTTATATGGTACATAATAATTCAATAGGACATAATAAGCCAAATTTGCAAAAGAGACTGTGTTTTCACCTAAAATATTCACTGACTTATATACATGTGCAGCTTCAAAATGGACAAACAAAGGTAATTGCACCCTTCCTGTACTTGTACATATGCTTTAATTTTGCACTTGTACAGGTAAGTTCTAATTCAATGCATACAGAGAAACTGATTGGATGAGAGCATCTCTTTAAAAAAATCAGGTATCAGTGTTTTGTGCATGATGAAAACACAGAGAGCTAAAAGTGGTATTGTTTCTGTGTTAGGCCAGACATTTCAAGAACTGGAATATTTCTGCTCCACTTTAGGATAAACAATCTGCTACAGTCTTATTAGGAGAAATGCTATACCTTAGCGTCAGTGCTTGTCATGCTTAGCTGTCATCTCACATTCCCTAGGGCCTTGTATATCCTCTATGACTGAGATTTGCCCAGCAATGTCAGGGATTTGGGTGCTCGGTTCCCATTATTGTTGCTGAGGATCTAACCCCTTTGTTGAGGGATGTTAGTTCTTTCTGTGGATTTGCTGTCTTCTGGCTCTGTGGTTTATATTCCCTACCTTTCAGTATTTCCAATGAGACTTCAGTCTGCTCTTGAAAAGGCCTTTTGCCATTGGTGCATTTTATAATCCTTCACAGAAAGCCTTAACTGGCAATGGGAAAGCTGTTTCTTATAAAAATGTTACACACATACGTACCTCAAAAACCTACTGGAGAAAAGCAAGCAGGAGAGCTAAAAGAGCTGCAATATAGATGATTTGGGTAATACAACTCACCAGAGAACTCAAGAAAGAAACTTCTGAGCATGCTGCCAGGCTGTCCAAATTAGAATAAACTATTTGGACTATTTTGGTCCCTGGAGCACAGTAGAATGCCCTGAACTACAAATTCACATTTGGTCTTCTCTTTCTCAGGGATGCAACTTCCTCCTGATGTTTACACCAAAAGTAAAACAGTGCCGAGACAAAGCCTTAAGTACTGCCCCGCCATATTCCCTATGTAAGTGTTTTCAGTTTAAGCATAAGAGAATTGAAGCATGGGTACAAGCCACAGTCTTAATTAGCCTTCAGACCAGAACATAACCTGGTTCCTTTTATTCACTACTACACACAGAGTCAGCACAGGCAAAGATTAAAATCTCACTCTGTGACATTTAACCATCTTTGCAAGGTACACTTAGGACAGCTGGTGAGGCGGCTTGCTGCTCTACTTCTTAGTTAATAATACATTTACATATGTGTGTTGGCATGTGTGTGTGTACATATATAAAAAAAATGTTTATGTCAATGGATGGAACAGCTACAGCACCATTTGCTACCTTAGTTAACACGGCAATCCAGTACAGAGAGCAAGTTGCAAGCCTTTGACTTATGACTCCTCTTGTTTTTAATACGGTTTTAACTGTCAACGTTAGTAAGTCATAAATATGAGAATAATGTAATAAGGACTACCACAAACACCCACTTCTATGTTCTTCTATTTTTGTTCCGTATTTAAAGTATCCACACATCTTCACACATTTCCTTCCTCCTCACTGTCAGACACCAAGGCTCTCAGTTATGCAGGTAAAAAGGACTGATGTTTTCTAAACTGTAATAGTTTCTCGTTCTCTCTTGTTGAAAGAATTCTGAGGACTAACTGGAGTCACCATTTGAGAAAAAGGTCCCTGGTGATTATACTGAGATGAGTTTCCGTGTTTTGCTATGTATCTGCAGTCACAAAAAGACAGAGAAAACAAGACTTTTAAAACGTGTTCTCATCTTGCTAAACATCCCCTCTTCTTCCCTCTCACTGCATTCTTCATAAACAGTTATGCCCATTGGCCTCAGAGAATATTAAGAATTTGCAATATTCCATAGTACTAAAATCAGCCCCCTTATATGAACAACGGTGGCAAATATTCCCAAGAGTTTTAAATCTTACTTTCTGGATATATGCAACGTGCTGAAAGACAGATCCCTACAGCAGCTGTAAGAAATATATGTTATGCCTCTTGCCTCTTTCCAGCCTTTCCTGAGCGCACATCGTTGCTTCACAACTAACCTGCACACTGCGGAGAACTGCCATGAGCATGCTGAATGCATTCAAGCATGTAAGGCCTGGTGGTGCCTGGAGCGCTAACTCTGGTGATGCTGGAGGTTTGGCTTTCAAACCTAGAAAAAACACTTTGCTGGCACCATGACATGCCTGCTTTAGATGCCCAGTCCTCGTGGTACAGAATACTGGGATGGGGCTTAGAAAATATGCTGGGGACTGTCTGGGAGAGAAAAAAATTATGCTAGACTATGATATTCTTCTAATCTTTTACAGGAAGAGGCACTATAAATAATCTTAAACCTACAACCTAAGTTGGTGTAGTCCCTCTGCTGCAAAACACCTAATCAAAAGCAGGGCTGACACAGAATTGACCACAGAGTCTTATGTTCACTCACTCTCCAAACAAAAACTATTTCCTTCTGACCTAAAGAACCCTTTTGAAATCTCCAAAGCAACTTGCTGAAAAGGTGCAATCCCTCTCTCTAAAATCAAACTAAATCCAGCACTACCTTATATTAACTACGGCAAGGCAAACACATTTCCATACAACTCATGGTGCAAATGGATTTATGTTTTCTGGGAAGCAATGGACAGTTCATTTAAACACAAAACACACAACAATACATAAAACATTTCTTCCTATGCAAAAGCTAAACAATGCTGCCAGAATTTAATTGCACTAAAGGACTTTGAAACCTAATTTTCTGGGGATTACCTGGAAATGAAAATACAATAAAAATACATCAATAAAGCTTGAAATATAAAAATACTACTCATATTCAAAGATGAAGAAACCATGTTTCTTCTGTTCTATATCCTATACAATCCTGTTGAGTTCATAATGCTTAAAACAGGTATAAAGGATTTTGCCCCACATACTGTGGAAGCTCCACGCAATAGAAATACAGTGCAGAAGTGGTTGCATGCTGCCTGGTCTATCTGATATTGCTGATACTTTTGACAGGAACATTTATTAGACCATGTTAGCAACAGACAAGAAACTCCCTCTGATACCCATAATTGTCTTCACGAGACTGACCATATATTGTAGACATGTCAAATAAAGCAGCTATAAAAACGTTCACCACATGCAATCACTTGCTATTTTCTGAGAAATTATTGTAGTCACGGCTTGAGAATGATGAAAGAGGGGAAAAAAAGTTTAAAAACAGTAAGAACGAGATCACATTCCACATGAAAAGCATGTGGAGGTGAAGTGGGGTAGTCTGACCCCAAATTCCAGGAACAACCTCTCTTCTCTTCACCTCTCCACTACAATCTAGCTTGACCTGTGACCACTGAAATCAGCAGGACTTTTATAATTTATTTTACAAAGGGAAGGAACCAAACGTTAATCATCTTTATTTTATGGGTATTACTAACCAATGTTGGGGGGAGATTTCCAGCATCTCTAATAGTTTTACATAGCAGTTTCACAGAGGGCTACAATCCTCCATCTTAAGTCAGTGAACACTGTCTTACTCCTCAAGTAGCCCCAGAGAAAGTAAAATAGGACTGTAAAATAGGACTTTGCAACCAGTGTTTCTACCCTCAGGGGCATGTACCAGTCAGCTCAGAAAAAGGGTGGTAAAACCTGGTCTACAATGTTTGGGTATGGCCATGCTTGCTATCTGTTTCCTACACACCATTCTTCAAAAAGGTAAGGGGATTCCATCCCAGTTCTGGAAAGTCTCCATTAGCATAGAATGAGAACCCCGTTCTTGCCATCCACTAAAAACTAGGAAAATTCATCCACTGTGAACTACACCCACAGTTAACACCTGTAGAAAGTAAAAGGAAGTATCAGATGTGTTTTCCTTTCTTAGATCACAGTGATGCCTGGCTTTTTGCTTTTGAAATCTGGTATCTGACCGAAGTCTGTCAATGATCTTTGCTAAGACGCATTTGCCTTTTTATTTGTTTGTGACATTTACAAGCAAGTTAGTCTTGCATCAAGCTGCTCAGTTCAGCTTTATTAGCCTAGAGGGACTCAGGACTCTGTTGCGCATCTTCATTCCCTGCCAACAGCAAGCTACAACTACAGGTGACTGCCTGTTTTCTAAGTATAAACACAGAAGAAAAACAGCAGAGGTGAATAGATGGAGGGCAGCAGAAATGGAACTCAGTGCATTTTGCACAACGATGAAACACTTAATAAGGTGAATTCTTTAAGAGCCACGCAGCTCCCTAAAGCTCCTCAAGCCTTTTCTGGATACTATTCACTGGCAGTGCTGAAAAAGAAGTGTAATGTGTTGTGAACAGAATCCTAAGGCTAATTAAACAGTTTAATGGAAGACAAATTTCTCAGGAAAATGTGGAAACTTGGCATAGGGGATATGGATATGGATTATGGATAACAAGAAGTCAGAATCTAATGTACAAAAACATAAAGGAGAGAGGGGAAACAAATAGTTACTAAGCTATTCTGAAGCTACTGGGAGGAAGGCTAGGTTGGTTCACTGCCAATGTCAGAAATTTTTTGTGCTAACAAAAGGAAAAGGTTTTTTTCAGCTATTCTGAAGTGTCCAGCTCTTTTGAAATGAACAAGTTAGACACCTAAATACTTAAAAAATGTGGCTCCTATTTTTAACAAACCTTGTATGGAAAAGCAAGAGAGAATAAAGATTCTTAACTCACTTCATGAGGTAGTCACAACAGTGATGTGGGGCAATGACGATTTCACAGTCACAGGGTCCTGGGTTGCATCAGTGTGAAGCATAGCATGATTTTGCTTCTCACTGCCTTCTGAGTAAAGCCACCCATTTTTAACAACTATTGTTGTATAGCAAATACCCACTTCATAAGTCTGCCAACACTAATTTGGAAACACACCACCACACAGATTTCTTTTAGGAATTTTTAACTTTGATACTCGTATCCTCTTTCAAAACACACACATATCAATCAATCAATCAATCAAAAAATAAAAAAAAAATAGTCACTTAACTCATGACTTAGTGAACATAGCTAAAGAAAAAATTTCTCAGTGTAGAAATAATCCTCACTTAGAAACACTGATTTACCTGAGTGTTAAGTTACCTTCCCAATACATATCTCACAATGTTCCAGGAAAACTCTAAAACCTCAAAAGGATTTCAGATTAGCATGACAATGATGCGGTGGGATCCAACCCCAACTTTTCTGTATTTTTGAAGCCAATGGAATGTCATGCTTAACATTTATTTGTTCTTTAACTAAATAAATGCAATTAGGTTTTTCCCTGTAATCTTTCTGAACAAGTTGAGAAATATACCTCATACTTACCCATGCAGTTGTGCAATTATCGATGGGGTTGTTGATGGAAGATTAGAATTTGCTGGGTGGGTTGCTGAAAAATGAACCTTGCCAGTGTATCCAGGGATATTTGGAGTGCTAAAGGAAAAAGGTAAAGGGGGGATGGGAGATAGAGAAAGAGTAAATTAAATGACTACAGGCTTGAAATATGACCTATGGATCAGATCTAAAATAGCTACTGTTTATCAAAGATAGATCGGGTAAAAACTCTTCATAATATAACGAGTATGTATGAACTGGCATAGTTTCTTTAAGATCAGCAAAACAACTTTATGATGATCTAGCCAATGATCTGACCCAAAATCTTTGGTTCGACATCGCAAAAGTGAGTTCTTTAGTGCTTCCCCTCCCAAGTTGTTTAGGTTGAATATCTGTATGATATTCATGATTGCAAGCAACATTTAATATCAAAGAAAACATGGGATCATGGGGTTTGCAAAGAGCATAAAAGGCAAGGAAATATTCTTTAAAAATTTGATACAGATTTAGCTCATATTTAGGTTCCAACTTCAAACATGGAATTTAGGTAGCAGGCTTTAGGACAACAGGTATGATTTCTCATGGCGTAAAACCAAATGATTTCCCAAATGATTCTGAAGTTCTCTAAATTTCCCCTAGAACTTAGTAAGAATGTATTTACATGTAAATATAATATTATTAATACTGCTTAGACACATCAACTTACATTTTAGCTCGAGTACACCACGGGACTGAGACAGTAGGTGCCACATCTTAGAAAACCAAAGCCTTTTGTTAATTCTGATGCTAAGTTTTAATGTGAAATTCAAAAGAGATGGAGGAAAGAATTCAACTTATTTGAAGTAGCACAACAGAAAATTTTGATAGCAATTGCTGCAAGATGAAGCAGAGACAGACAAAATTAAAGAAAAAAAAAAAAGTAGGTACCAATATGAATTCAGAGAGATAATCCATGAAGATTAAAAGTAAAAAAATCTGTATGACAGCTTTTTCGCAGCACAAAGTTATTCAGAGAGTATCATCAGTACTGTTCTATATTGACAGCTCAAAACGGGACAATGCTAAATTATACATATATCCAGAATACCCATACACATGGAGGCTAAGAGCTCATGACAAGCTGTTTCATGCACTGAATCAATTAAATACTTGGGATTGTAAACCTTGCCTGCATTAGACCTTTGTAGGTCTTCAAAACACATGAATAATAACAATGCCTCCTTTAAAATAATGTCTGAGGCATTTTTTGGTTCCCCTGTACCCTGGTAAAAATAAACAGTTCCTTTAATTAATTAATATTTACTTGTTAATTTCAGTACAGCTGATCAGCTATTTCTTCACAACTACGTTCAACACAAGATGCAGAACTGGACATATGTGCGAGACATAGTTGATCAGAAAATTGACTTGTTTAGTAGGAAACTTGGCTCTGAAATTCCTCACCAGAATAACAGAGGTAATGACAAAATGCTGTGTCTACCTACCCCAGTTATAACAATGGACTGTGAGTGTTGTGGTTTGGGCTAGACCAGCCACTGAGGCGATATGACAGGATGATGATCATGTCACCTGCAGGCACAGGGAAAGTTCCAGACTGGGCTCAGTGATGGATGGGAACTGGGTTCCAGATCTGGATCAAAGGCAGACGAACAGAGTCCTCCTCAGGTGTTTGCCATTGAAGAAAGAGGGCTGACCCTTTGATCCCTCAGCTTTTATACTGAGCATGAGGCAGATGGGATGGAACATCCTGTTGGTCAGTTTTGGGTCACCTGTCCTGTCCACTCCTTCCTGCAGGTGGGACCCCTCTACACTGTTCTGGTTCCGACACTCCAACGGTGCAAATAACCAAGTTAACTGGCCTTGGGTGTTATAGCAATAAGCATAAGCAAGAGCCTCCCTGCAAACCATTCCTTGGCATCAACTATAAACATAGGTCCTATCACTCTGAGAGCAAACAGTTTCTGCACAATATGCTGTTAATTTCAGGAGTTAGAAGAGGCCTAGCTAAAAAGCAAAATTACTGAACAGAAAATTGGTTCTGTTTTAACTCAAACCAGGACAGTGGGTGAATATACTTGCCACGGGAGCATTGTGGTATGTTAAAGTCTTTGTACCCATAGTTAGCAGAAAGACCATCTAGTCTTAATTTGGAGTAGCCTTGCACTAACCCACACATTCATACATTGCTATGCTCCCTGTGCCATGCTCCAGTATGTGACCGTCCAGAGAAGATGGCTTTGTAGAATCAGTACAGCAGTTTTGTAGCACTTGGGAAGCTGTTACCTACACAGAATCACCAAGTAGTTGACTGAGCAAGTAACAAATTTGCTCTCTGTCTTGACAACAGCCATGCAGGGGTAACAAGTAGGCATGAAAATCTAGTATGGCCGTAGAACATATTTTCAGAATTGGTCAAAATGACTTGCAGAAAAATTTACTTTTTCATGTCAAAATAGACAATTGTTAGGTTACGTGCATATTAGGTAACTCTAGAAAATTTCATCTGCATATGCAGGGATCCCACTGCGGGATAAAATGGACATCGGGTGTGTGTGAGTATAAGCACATGTATTCATCCAAACAAATGTGATAACACTTCGAAGGAATCAGTCAGATTGTGAACAGAGTTTTATTACCCTGGTGATGGGCCACATAGCAAGATACATCTCTGCCATGTAATAAAGAAATTCCATTGACATCCTTGAAATTGTCTGAGCATCAGAGAGAAGAGAAGGAGATCACAAAAAGCCCCATATTAACTTGCAACATTTTCTAAGCCTGTTTGGAGTTAACTCACATTATAATTGTACAGCTGTGGAGATATTAGAATACATTATGCACTGTTAGGCATCTGATTGATAAAATCTTCTGACCTTTAAAACTTGCAAAACTGGAAGAAAACAGAAAAGCACTATAATGGCCAAACGTGACCCAAAATGAAGCCTGAGAGATGACTCAAGACGAAGACTTGTTCTAGACTGTCTGTTAGAAAGTATTGACAGCAGTTGGTGTATCCATAACAGGTGGGAGGGATGTAGCTCTGAAAGAGAAGAGAGGTGGGCAGCGAGAAGCTAAAAGTACCAGGATAGTAAGAAAGCTTACACTACAGTAATGCAGCTGCTCTCCTGGGAACCTGCAAAGAAGATGCAAAAATGTGCTGCGGTTATGTATGTGATAAAGCAGAAGAAACTGAGGTTAAAAAAATACCCCTTTGGTTTTTTGTTTTTGGATCATGCTGTCTAGCTCTGTTTTCTCTGATGAGCTGCTAAACCAGATTTTTGCCGCTAAAGAAAACAACTAAGTGCCAGGCTACCACTGGGCAACATACAAAACTCCTCTGTGGTTATGCTGTCGTCATCAAGCTTGCTTTCTGTAACCATGACATCTCTCTTGTTCATACACTTCCTTGTTATCATGCTAGCAACTCTTAGACCCAACAGCAAGAAACATACAGTGTTGACAGCTGAATCTGTGCAAGGTCTAAGATTTTTCAAGTGGAACGTAGTGATTCTGAGTGCCTCTGCTTTGGTGTGCCTCTGTTTTGTATGTCCATCTCGGGATTTTTTTGAAGATCTATTTTTCATAGAATCATAGAATGGTTTGGGTTGGAAGGGGCCTTAAACATCGTCTAGTTCCAACACCCCTGCCATGGGCCAGGACACCTTCCACTAGATCAGGCTGCTCAAAGCCGGACCTCCACAACTTCTCTGGGCAACCTGTTCCAGTGTGTCACCACTCTCACACTAAAGAATTTCTTCCTAATATCTAACCAAAATCTACCCTTTTTCAGTTCAAAACTGTTACCCCTCATCCTATCACTACACTTCCTGACAAAGAGTCCCTCCCCATCTTTCCTTAGGCCCCCTTTAGGTACTGGAAGGCCACTATAAGGCCTCCCCAGAGCCTTCTCTTCTCCAGGCTGAACAACCCAGCTCTCTCATCCTGTCTTCATAGGAGAGGTGCTCCAGCCCTCTTATCATCTTTGTGGCCCTCCTCTGCACTTGCTCCAACAGGTCCATGTCTGTTTACTTAATTTAGTTTGTCACCCATACTGGCATTTAGAGCTATTTGAGATGCCTTAAGGTACGTAAGATAATGTCCTATAGCACTGGACCCACAGGAGACCCATACTGTTCTGAAGTAGCAGCTAAAAGTGGTGCTCTAGGTTGGCTCCAGGGCATTGGACGCCTAGGTTTGCCATGTAAATTCCATGTCAGCTGTTTTTATGGGAGCAAAATCAAGATTGCCCCAAATAGTTTGTAATTCTTGAAAAATTTGGATCTAGCACTTCAGCTTAGCTGAGGTATCCAAGTTTTTTGCTCAAAAAATCTGTCTAGTGAAAGCGATCTGGTAGCTTCTTACCTTGCATTTACAAGCAAAGAGCTCCTAACATCTTACTCTTTCTTAGAAACACTGTTGTATAAATCTCATAGAACTAAATCACCAGATTAAGTCATTAACTAGCTCTTCTGGTTACTGCAATTACAAAACAGGCCTCTTGGGTCTCACAGTACAGAAGACTCACAGCTGGCTTCCACCTCAAATTCCCTTCCAGGAAGACTGACATGTCACACATTTATGGCCCTTCTTTTTCTCCATTATCCTATTTGCCAAGCAGAATAACCTGTGGTAAAAATGCCTCAGATGTGATTCTATGTCAGGAACCTCAATGCCTACAGCCTCTTGTATTGGTAAAGAATATATCTGAGAGAACTTGTGAAGTCAAAACAAGGTGCTCCATACAAAGTGAAGAATGGGACTAACAGGATTTTTGAAGAGAGCATTCTGGGTTGCATTTCATAACCTTCTCCCTCAGCCATCAAAGTAGGATAGGGAATGGGTATTTACAAATGGATTTGGGGTTTCTAAAAGGATAAAACAGTCAAAATGTTAATTTCCCAGAAATATTTTGAATCATGTTGAACTGGAACATTTTGTTTCTACATTTTCAAACAGTTTTATTCTGCTTTCAACTTTTTCAGTCCCCCTTTTTAGTAGGGGGTAATATTTTTCAGAAACAAGAAAGCATTTCAAGTGAGCAATAAAATCTCATTTGGAAAATGTCAAAGTAGGATATTTCAGCATCCCCCACCCTCAAC